GGGTGGCCCGCCCCCCGGGCCCGTGGCCTCAGGCAGCCCGTGACCATCCCTCTCCCCCCCGTGGGATGGCTGAGCCGGCTCGGCGAGGGGGGTGAGAAGCCAAATCCGGCTGCTCCCATGGGACCTTGAACGCCCGACGGCGCAGCCGGGACCTTTCGCAAACTCGCCGGGCGGACAAAAAACAGGCGCCGTCCCACGCCGGGGTTTCCGAGGGCGATGGTGCCTGGGAAAACAAAAACAGATCTGCCTGGGGGAGCTTGGAGAAGGGAGGGAACCGGCCCCCCTGTGTCTGGACGCTGTCGTCTGTGGGGCACGGGGAGGCAGCGGCCCCACCAGCTTTGGGTAGGGCAGCAAAGAGGCGTCTATGGAAAGGGTTAAAAAAAACCCGAAGTCAGCAGAAGGGGAGGAACCGGTTGCAAAACAGCCGCGAAACCTTTTCCTTTCCCCTCTGTGCCGGGGTTTGGTGGACAAGCGGGGCAGCGGCAGGAGGGGAGGGCACAACTGCAACAAACCCCGATTCAGAGTCCCCAGCCACGTTGTGTAACGCAGACAGATCCTCTTTGTCTTCCTTCTTTTCTTTCCTTTTTTTTATTTTTTTTCCTTCCCTTTGAGCCCATTTTTTAATTCTGGCCTAAATCTCCGCCTGGCTTTTCCAGGGCAGCTCCATCTTTTGCTGTGCCAGCCACCCTTTTCCACCCTTTCCTGCAGCTTCCCATAGCTCCTCTGGGTGACTAGCCAGGCCAGAGGACAACTCTCCTCCTTATCTCTGGCCGTGCTGATGCCAACCCTGTGCCCAGTCCTACAGACAATCCGAGGTGGCCATAGGAGGGCACCTGCCCTTGGCTGATGTAACTGCTGTGGATTAACCCCCCCCCGGGGAGGCTCAGGGGGGATAAGCTGGGTGCTGAGCCACTGGGCACTAAGTAGGGTGCATGGCCCAGGATCAATCCGTCCTCTCCCAAGAGCCACTTTTTAGGGCAGGGAGGAAGTTGGCAGTGGTTCCGGGGGGATTTTGGGGGATGGTGGAGGGCAGGGAGAAGTAGTAGGGGTTGGTCCCCCCCTTGCTGCACCTGTGGTGCTGCACTGGAGGCAGCCATGCTGGAGCTGCTGGGGTTTCGAGGTGGACATGGGAGGAGCAGGGCAGGGATAACCAGAAAGTTGCTAGGAGCTCGTGCCTCAGTTTCCCCACACCAGTAGTGGGGAGCCTCAGCTCTCTTTTTGGGGTGTCACCAGGGCATCACTATACTGGGTAGGGGCAGAGGGAGCTGCCAACTCGTCCAGTTTGGTAGCTTTTGCTGCTGACAAATGCTTTGGAAAAGCAGGAAAAATTTCTACCCTTTCCTTAAAGTGTTTGGAGGGATGAAACATGGCCAGGCACGTGAGGACAGGCCAGGGCTGGAAAAGCAGCCCCAGTGTGCGAAATTCCAGATCATATGTGCTCCACTAGACCAACCTTTTTATTTAAATACCCTTCTTGTCCCGACTACCCTTAGCTCCCACTTCCCTGCTGCGTCCCATGCCGCGTGGAGTCAGGAGCTGCACACCCATCGGTCCCGGCGTTGCGCCAAAACACTTCAACCCGGCGGGGTACCGGGCACCCCCATCACACCCGCGAGCCCAAGTCATGCACCAGCACCTCGTCCGGGCGGGTGGCCCTGGCCAGACAGTTTCCCACCACCGCCAGCACCTTCCCCAGGCGCCGGTCCAGCGCCCGCAGGTGGGGCTCGGCCAGGATCGGGGCCAGGGGGTCGGTGGCCAGTGCCTCCCGCAGCAGGTCGCTCAGGCGGTAGGGCTGGGTGGCCAGCAGCTGCAGCCGCAGGTAGGTGGACTTCTTGATGCTGCCAGAGGTGTGGAGGGAGAGGTCTTAGCCTGGAGAGCCTCTTCCCCCCACAGCAGCAGCTCCTGGGGGAGGTGGTGGGAGCCCCTTACCTGCAGCACTGCTGGAGGGGAGCCAGGATGGATGGCTCATCGCGTGAGTGCCTGCCAAATCTGGGGGGGAGAAGTCTTGTGGCTCAGAGCCCGGCCTGGAGCGTGTTTCAGCAAGACCCACGGTCTCCCCCCCCACCCCTTTGCCAGGATTGCTTCCCTCCCACCCGGCTTTACCCACGACCGTTGTCGAGGTGGAGCAGAAAAGTGTCATTCCCAAATTTCTCAAAGGTCTCATAGTGATGCCGGTCCATGTTGCCTGCAACAAATTAGCCATTGGTTGGTAGGCCAGGAGGCAGGAATGGAGATGTGGAGCACCCTCCTGGTGTGAGACCAAAACCCTGAGGCTGGGGAAAAGGGCTGGGGCCACCTCTGTGGTACCCATCTGGTGGCCGTGGCAGTGGGGGGGACCTGACTTGAGGCCCCAAGCCTTCCAGGTCTGTTCTCATCCTGGCAACCCCATGGAGGGACAACAGTGGCAAATGGAGCAGAAGTAACAGCAGAGGCATGGCTGGGTGGCTGGGGATGAGGAGATGGAAAGCTCTCCAAGTCATATGATGGCAGGGGACAGTGCAGGGAGGAAGGAGTGGCCCTGGACACGGGAGAAGCAGTGTGAGCCCCAGGGAGCATCGCTGCTAGCCCCAGCTCCCTGCAGGCTACCCATGAGAGCTTGCAGGAGGTGCTTCCCATGCCTAGAGTGTTCAGCTGGGATCTCCCTGGCATCTGTCATCCCTTGCCTTCTCCCCAGGATGTGTCCTAACAGCACAGCCCTTTGCTCTTGCTTTGGGTTACAGCACACAGCTCTCTGCAGCCTCAGCAATGGTCTGGCCAACAAACCTTGCAGGGTGTGTTACCACGGGACACAGAGCCGTGTGGGCCTCTCGGTCCCAAGGGGCCCCCACAGCCCCCAGTGCCAGTACGGTGGGGCTCACCCATAAGGAAATCAAGGACTGTCATGTCTATGAGGTCGAGGAGGCGATGGCCCCTGTCGTAGGGTGGTGTCTTTCGCACCTGAGCACAGTAGTTGGGGTTTAGCTCCCACCTGTGGGCAGAGGCCAGGAAGGGGTTGGGGCCGTGAGAGCAGCCGTGGGACAGCCCCCTCCCCTACCACGGCCCTTCTCCCCCATCCCCCCCGTGCCCCCCCATGTCCCTCCTCACTCAGCCTTCTTGCTCTTGTGGTAGGAGCGGCGCCAGGGGCTGCGCCAGGAGCGGCGCTTGGCCAAGGTCTTGTCTGGCAGCAGGGCAGCCATGGAGCCCTCCAGCCCGTCTGGCTTCCCGCAGAGGGCGTGCTCGGTGGAGCAGTAGTAGGAGCACTCTCCGTAGAAGCAGACGTTTCCCGCTGGCCATGGGGACAAAGCAGAGGTTGAGGAAGGAAGGCAACAAGCCTGCTTCCCCCGTGCAGGGTGGTCTGGCAGGTGGCTGAGTAAGGATGCTCCATGCACCGTGCCCATGTGCCACCAGCAAAGTAATGGCAAGGAAGGGCTTGAGGAGCAAGCCCTGCAGCAGGAGACCTGGAGGGAGCTGGAACAGTTCCCAAGGGACAGTTTGCTCCAGGGCAGGAGCAGCTGGCTCCAGGAGAGCTCCACTTGGGCAGCCGTGAAAGAAGATGGTTGGCAGTGAGACCTCACCTGGGGAGATGAAGAAAGTCTTGGCCAGTTTCTTGTCCGTGGTGATATCACGAATCTCCTTTGTTATATTGACCAAACGGCCAGAAACTGGGGGGATTCGCCGGAAATCCAGGATCCTGAAACACAGAACTTGGAACCACTTCTTGCTGACCCTGGCTGGTTTTCACACCAAATTATTAAAACCACTATGAGATGCAGGTGCCCCTTGCAGCAGGGAGGAAGAGGTGGGATGAAGGAGCAGTGTCTCTGCCACTTTGCTGCCATGGGAGGGCAGAGTTGGATGCAAAGCTTGCACTAACCTGTCCAGGTGGAAGGCTGCAATCTCTGCATTGTGTCTCTCAAAGTCTGAGAAGTAAAAGAAGTCAATGGGAGTCTCCTGGTCCCGGGTCTGCCTGGGTGGAGAAGGGAGGGTGCAGGGGATGGCCATGGTCATCCTTGTCTCCAAACCACCCTCACCTTGTGTCCCTGGTGCCACTGGACACACAGCCAGATCCAGCCTCCTCCAATCTCTCCCTGCAGGGTGGTGTGGCCCCAAAACCCCCAGCCAGGCCCCCATGCATCTCCTGCTCCCAACCCAGGGGCTGGAAAGCCCTCACGGGGGTCCTGGATGGTCCTCATGAGCCATCTTCTTCTTTCCACCACTGGAGGTCACTACCCCATCACAAGCTGCACCCAGCCTGCTGCAAGCACCACCAGGGAAGGGGAGGGGAAGGGGACCATCCTGCTTGCCCTGGTTTTGGGGTGGGAGAGCTGAAGCAAGGCAGTGCCTGAAGCATTTCTCCATTTCTCCCTCCATGGTCTCCCCTGGCCACTCCTCCCCACCTCAAGGGTGAGGTATGGGATTGTCCCCAGTTCTACTCACTTCATGGGCTTGAAGAGGGCCTGCCCATAATTCGGGAATGTCATGATGAGCTTGAGCTGGGTCCCGCCGGACTTCTGGACTGAAAGGGGGCACACAGGGGTGAGGGGGGTGGGCAGCAGGCAGCAGGGTAGGGGTGCAGGCAGGGCTGCAGGCAGGGAGGTGGTACCCGAGCTAACGATCCTCTGCGTGGCCAAGTCCTGGAGAAGGATGGGCATTAGTGGGTCCTGGCGGGGGTACAGCTCGTAGCGGTTGATGCCGATGTGGAATTTGAGCCAGGCAGGGTAGGTGTCATAGGCTGTCTTCCCTGTCGGGAGGACCGTCTCGCCTTTACTGCTGCTGACCCTGCAGCCCATCAGCCACCGCCACCCCAACAACAACAACAGCATTTAGTTGGGATGGGACCAGTCCTGCATCCCCAGGCCCGTCCCAGGAGCCAGCATATGGAGGGTGAGGTGGGGGGCAGGCCCAGCACAAGCCCTGCATAGGGGTGAAACTCCCTGCCCCATGGGCTCTCCTTGCAGCTCCTGGCACCTGGGCAGATCCCACCCATGGCTCGTGGTCAAGAAGACCTGCTGGCATGGCCAGAGGGGCTCAGTGTCTTCCCTCACATCCCTGTGAGAAATCCCTAGGCTAATCCTGCTCCTCTCATCTGTGCCTTTATTTCCCTGCTGGAGCAGCTCATCTCATTTTTATTCCCCAAGGGATTGGCTCCTAGGAATACAACTGTCTACACTCTGCCTCTTGCTTGCTGGGGACATACATGCATCCAGAAAACAGGGGTGGAGGATCCAGCCATCCCAGCTGGCTGGGTGTCCCTTCCCAGACATTCCCAACACAGATCTGAGCTCCCACCCTCAATGTCCAGCTCCCCTTGGATGGTTTATCATATGCCCCCGATTTCCTCAGGGAGATAAATTTGGGTTAGCACTATCTCTGTCTCTGTGCTTCCTCCAGTTTGCAGGCATTCAAGGGGGAGTCCTGCAGATACCTTCCCCCGCTCTGCACCAGCACCTGCTGGCATTGCAATGGGACAGTCTGGCCCAGGGCATCTATAACCCAAATCCATGTCTCTCTAGGAAAATGTAAACTGTGCCCCAATTTCCTCAAACCAGACCCAGCTCCCACGGTTATCTGTAGATGAGGTGGTCCTCAGAGACAAGGCAAGTTCCCATTTGTGGAAACGAGCTCTTAAACCAGCTTTTATTCTCTCCCAATTTTAGCAGCAACCACATTTGGAAGGTGTGCTTTCCATAAGGAAGCTGCTACGTGTTATCGACGCTGAAGCTTTTAATATCTTCCCTCTTAATTAGAGGTTAGTAGTCCAGTGATAAAAATAGGCAGCTGGCAGCCGTGAGCTCATCGTGCTGCCAAGCCTAAAGAGGTCAGATGATGTCCTGAAAAATGCAGGACAGGCATGGTCTTATGGATAGAGGTAAGCCACACTGCAGGCTTTACATCTCCAAAGTGTTGGGAGAGGGGGATACAACCGGTTAGAAATCTGCAGTGAGGACTACCTCACAGACAGAGAGAGACCAAAGGCTAGTCTGCCCTGGGGAAGGAAAGGATGAGGAGATGACCTAAAAGATACCCTACATAATACTATGAATAATTCCAGAGTCTTCTTTGGCTTCAGTATATGCTACAGAGTAGCAGCCCAGAATTCAGAGCTAAGTGATGATCTGAGGCACAAGAAGAGCGTGCTCAGCAGTTGGGGCCCCTCCACGGTAGGTAGGATGCTGACCTACACAGGGAAGCAACGTGCTTGCTCCCTGCCACCTGTCCCCTCGAAACTACATATCCCCCAAAACCAAGCCAGGGCTGAGCTCGTTCCTCACCATTCATCACTCCCACTGCTGTGCAGGCTGAACTTCTCCATGGGGTTGACAACAAACAGCTTGTCTTTCTCTGTCACCTCCGGGATCGGAATGTTGTAAAGAGGATGCTGGAAGAGCCTTGCCAGCTTTGATCCCTCGGTCAGTCCTGCATTCCCCTCTCCGTGCTGGTGCTGGATGCCCAGCTCTCTAGCCCTTGCATGCAGCCCTGCTCCCTGTGGCTGGGAGCTTTTCTCCAAAGAGCCGTTGCTGCCACTGAAATCCTGAAGGATTCGCAGGCTTAGTTTTTTGGGGCTGGCCAGCACAGGGCTGCCTGATGAAACCCCAGAGGCTTTTGCATTGCAGCTGCAGGGCCTGACGTCTGTGGGGAGAGCCAGATCCATCACCAGATGCACCAGGAGGGCCAAGAGCAGGAGAAAGAGGAGGCCAATCTTAAATTTCCTTTGGAGAAGTGTTTGCAGCCGGCGCCACATCCTTCCTCACCTGAGACACTCAGCAGGGGGTGAGCACCCACCTGAGGCTGAAAGAGCGTTGGTGCAGCTGCAGCCTCGGTGCAAAAGTAGGAGTGAGGTGTCCTGGGTTCAGAGCATGGCAGCAGAAGAGCAACCAGTGCAAGGGCAGAGTTGCAGGAAAGATTTGTCACCTCGGGGTGATGCCACCAGGCCAAGGCGGGAGGTTGTGTCAGGGCTTATCAGCTCTGATAAGGGGCGAGCTGGCACCACCAAGGTTAGCGTGAACGGGGCAAGTTCCAAATCAATAGCCACAAGGCTGGCTTGGGGACAGCAATGGTTGCAGATAACCCTTGCACCATCCTGTTCCTCTGTGCTGTCACCTGCACAGGGCAGCAGGACGTTTCTGAGTGTACAGGGCATTAAAGTGGTTCTGGCCCTCTGAAGCACCCACCCTGCCCAGCACTACACAGCCCCATTCCCAGTGTCTGTCAGATCTGCACACTTGTAATCTGGGAGAGTTGGTTCTCTTGTTGCTCAGACAGAGCAATTTTATCACCCTTTCCATCTATTCAAAACCATTTGTATTCAAACCCTCTTACAAAAACCACACAAATTAGATAAAATGAAGGAGATGTGTCAGCATCCTTGGGAGGGGAAAAGCAGGGCTGGCAGTGTCAGGTGAGGTTCATGGGCAGGGATGCTCTCAGGGCCTCTGAAGCAGGCAGGAAAGCTGGGCAGGTAGGGATGCTGCCTGCTGCTCAGGCATCAGCACAGAGGGGCAGCAGGACCCACTGAGTGCCAGAAGGACTGGCAGCTTGTGGAAGGGCAGCCCATTTTTATGAGAAATTCATCTGTCCACTTGACACCTGGATTCCACTTACACTGGGATTCACTTTCCATCCCATGCAGGGATGCAGAGCTGTGCTGCCTGGGCAGTCACCAGTTGGTGACTTGTAGGGAGGGAACTTTGGATTTGTTAAGGGACAAGGGAACATGGGACCACCTGCAACAAACCTGGGGGCTTGAGTCTGGAGTCCAGAGTGATGGTTTTCCTCTTTTTCATTTCCCAAAGGATGCAGATGGCATACGAAATCCTGAACATCATGCAGTCCTACCCAAGCACAGCAGGGTAGGATGAGAGGTGGGAAGGAGGGCCTATGGTGGAGACCCCTTCCCTCCTCTGCCACATCCCAGCACTACCCTCTCACTCTCACTGCCCTCTCCACACCATCCCATGCCGGCTCAGTCCGTGCCGGGCTTGGCCCCTTCCCAGGTGGTGTGGCGGGAACGCAATGTTCCCGGTGTTCTCAGCTTGCCGTGTCCCACGGCACGACAGTTGCCTGGAAACCGCCTTCGGCTGACACCATCAGCCGCCCCAGATCCAGCCAGCTCCACGTTCCCTTCCCCGTGCCTTGTGCTAACAAGATGGCCGAGGGGAGCCAGGGCTCGTGGGGAGGAGGAGGAGGAGGTGAGCTTTTCAGCCCGGCTGGTGAGCTCAAAGCTCTGCAGAAGGAACAGAGTGGAGGGGAGCAGATGGCTTCCCCGGGGAAGGGAACACAGTGTCTTGCTCCGGGAGGTTTGCTGGATCCATTCCGGACGTACGGTTTGGAAAAAAGGCACCTAGGAGGGGTTGTAGCTGGAACACAGGATCGTTAGGTCATTGCTCAGCGGAAAAAAACACCAACAAAAACCACGTGCTAACTGCTCGCATCAAAGAAACTGGGCTCTGCTTCTACAGCAGGGCAACAGATTCCTTTAATCCAGAGCCAGTCCTGGGCAAGTGAGGGGAGAGGGAGACCCTCCCTCCTTGTAGTGCCCCAAACCAGCTCCAAACTGGACTGGGGGTAATAGAAACCTTCCTCCCCACACCCTCGAGCTAGGTGGCAACAGGGACCCTATGGGCTGACACCCCTTTTCTGACCAGGAGTCCCATCCTGAAGCTATGGGAGTTTGCAGTCCCCCCTCCATCCTCATTTAGCTTCCCATTGGAAAGCAGAGGTGGGGGATTAGGTGGAGTGCTCGCCACCCATAGCACTTCGATTCTGGCATTAAATATTAACCAAAAGATCTTTCAGGGACTGAAACACATGCCCACAATAACAGGGAAGAGCTGGAGAGCTTCAAAGCCTGCCCCGACTATCGAAGTACCTTGTTGCCATGACATCATGGTAGAGAAGCAGTTGAGCTTGCGCCTCTTTCTTCCCATCTCCCCCCTCACCAACTGTGCCACCATTTTCTGAGCACCTGCCCTCCTTCCTAGCAGGCTCGAGTCACCCTTGGGGCGGAGGAGGAGCCGTACATCCGAGGACATTTCCACTGAGTCAGGACTCCCTGGCAGCCGATAATGATGTCGTCCATCTCCCCGCAGCAGGGAGGGATGAAGTCATGAAGCACAGCCCTCTGAGCTGCTATGGCAGCTTTCCGGGACAGGTAGGTTGGAAAGGGTCATTTTGGATGGCACCACTGCATCACCCTGCCTTTTTCGTCTCCTTTTCTACATCTGACTCAGCCTGATGCTTTGATGGTTAATGGCAGTCATATGCAGGGGGCAAGAAATCAGAGGGAGAGGAGAACACAATAGCAAGCCACCTGTCGCCAAGTTCCCCAGCTTTCTGCTGAAAATTCATAAAGTAGAAACCTTCAGCAAGAGACTGCAGTTTTACAGGCAAGTAAGACAGGCCATCAGTAGCTCCAAAGCATCAGCTGCAGAGAAGTCTCCTGTGGGAAAACACAGGACCAGGGACCATCTCTGATCCATGAACCATACTCCCCTGAAAATTACAGGCATGCTCAAAAGTGTGCTGGTTTCATGGCAAGAGGACAGCCAAGGTCCTTCTTCTAACACACAGGGGCTGGCACAGCATGGGTCAACGTGCAGTAGGCAAGAAAATGAATCTGTCCTAGTGAACACTTGCCTGACGTGCACAGCTGAATTTTGGGAAGCTGAGGTTTGTGCTTTCATGATGACAAGCAGGCAAACCAGTTAAGATGGTTGCTTCTTTGTGGCAACTTCTTGTGGAGAAGCTGTTACTCATGGAAACAAAAATAGCCTGCTGCTCTCCTGTGAGCCACCTTGCACTTGCCTTGGGGGAGTCACAGTGTGGGATCTGCAAATTCACACCTAGCTCACCTCCATCTGCCTGCACACTCATGCTTTGGGAAGGCTGGGGAGTGGTCAACAGCCGCCTATTGCTGATGCAGGTCACGGAGACATTAGTTTTGGTCAGCTGGTGGCCAAGCTGATAACAGACCAGCAGTGAGGCCAAAAGATCATGTGCTGAGGTAAGCAGCTCCCTATGATCACCTGCAGGTCAGCATGACCCTGCAGAGATGCTTGTGACCAGCGTGTCTGTGCATGTGCAGACAGCAGTTAATTATTCATTAGTCTGAAAGATGCATGATTGAAGAGAGCATGGTATGGTTGAAGGTATCAACGAGCTCCAACATGGGGCATTCCAAAGACACCGGCTTCACCTTCTCTTCTGAACCTAGAGGAGACAGAAAGTCATGGAACAGCAGAACAGCTATTCCACCTGCCAGCTGCAGAAAGCACCAGTCAACAGTGCTGTCTTCACGTAGAGGCAGCCAGCTGGAATGAGACAGAGTAACCACACCAAGAGACAGCTCAAAGGATTTGGACCCTTCTGCACTGCACAATCCCCCTGCCACTGTGGACCACCACGCAGGGGAGGTATCATGGTACCAACTACCTTATGGTACCACTTACATGTCCCCCTACCTTGAAAGTCCCTTCTACCTGATCAGTAAGGAATTATGCAAGACAATGTGGGGCTCAGCCAGCAGAGATGGTCCAAATTTGAAATAACTTCTAATAGCCTTCATATTACTGTAATTCCTTATAAAACAGCTCCTGACATGATGAAATGGAGGAAGGACATCTCTAGCACCACACTGAGGGTAAGAGAAGGAACAAGTTTGCTCCACTGTGGGCACTAATTCAGAAAGATCCTTTGGAATTGAACTATGGACTAGAGTGTGGCCTCTCATAAAACACAAGGTGTCAGTGGTACTGCTGGCAATATTCTGAGAGTCTGAAAGTCAAGGAAGTAACTAACAGGAGACACCAGAGGCCAGAGAGAGGCATGCTGGCTGGGCAGAGGACATGGGTACATTCCCTTGTGTCTACTTGGACAACTGTGTGGATGAGGAATTTGGCCAGCAGCACTGCAAGCCTGGCAACCTTCCTCAGCACCGTGGCTTGCAGTGGTGAAAGAAACTGAACAGGGAAGATGAGAGCACATCTCTGGTACCTACAAGTCACTCAGGAAACAGGCAGGATGGACACTTGTCACTGTCCTTTGCCTGAGCTACTGCATTGCTTGCTTACTTCCATCTGTCCTGAACTACTTTTGCTTCTCATCCTTCATTTCAGGGCTTTCATTTTAGGACACACACAGAAAAGGACATTTTACTTAATTTTTATTGTAAAAACACACTTCCCCAGATTTATATAAATAAACCATATACGCAACATATAATTACGTTCATTTCATCCTCCAACACTGACAGCTTTAAAAAGAATGAAACAGGCTAAAAGAAGGCAAGTCCAAAAAGACTTTAGGTTTCTGATGACCAAGTGGTATCTCACATGGAGCCTCCTTCCTCTACCAGCCTCCAAACAAGATGCTGAAAGTACACAGCACTTGCAACACCCCCGAGGACTGACAGGGAGGCATTTGAGCCTTATGAAGAGCTTTCACCCACTCCCCAGGCGTTGTCAGCCACCCGTGTTTTCATGCTATCTCAGTGTGTGGTGGGTGAGAAAGGAGGGGGCAGTTTGAATAGCAACCTCCTACACCCAGGCAGCTCAGCTGTTGCACGCTCCCAAAAGAAGCAGGGAAGGACAAGCTGAGCCTGCTTCCCTGTGGCTAACACCTCCATGGGCAGGGAGACGCTTGGCACTGCCAGTTCTGTACGGACATTTTAGAAAGGAAAGAGAAGGTATTCAGAGAGCAGAGAGACAGGTGCTGGTCAGAACTATACCACACGGTGGGGAGATGGCAGAGAAGAAAACACGATGTGGAACAAGTGGGAGGAGAAAAACCATAGGACTAGATAGCACCTCTTCTTTTTTGCTTCCCCCTCCTCACGCTGCTGTATGGACCTGCAGTGTGTCGTGAGATCACCTGCTCCCCTCCTCCTTCCTGCTTCGGCTCAGACACCAAGGAAAGAGCCAGACAGATGAGAAATCCCACAAGCAAAGACAGGACAGCTTAGCAAGTTTATACACACACACAGGCACCAACTATATCTATCCCATGGAACTGTAACAACAGCATAAAAAAAAAATCAATCTTGATGTTTAACTATTAAAAATAAAGCCCAACTTCCAGATTGTACAAAACCTGTTAAGGAAGAAATCTCTTCTACGCAGCGAGTCTGGGACCCAGCCAGATGTCAGGAACATTTCCAGACACACACGGCCAGGCTGCCACCAAAGAACATGTACAGCAGATTCTTCACCTCGTGAGTGATCTCAAAGCCAAAACCTTCCCCAATCACCACATGCCAGGAGGACCCAAATTTCTTGTCCATCACCTCTTTGATCATCTTGGCAGCGCTCTAGAGAATGTTAAGAAGGAGAGCATGGGGTGAGATAGAGTAAGCAGTGAGTTTTCATGCAAACATCCCCCTAGTCTTCTCCTCCCTTTAACAGATCACTCAAGCCATAAGCAACAGGCACAGCAGCTGTACAGCAGGAACTGGGAGCTCCCCAGAGCTGCACCCAAGGGCAAACCTCTGTGTTTTCAGCAACCTCTGACACAGCAGTTAGGAGAAATTCAAGAACCGCATCTAGCAATCACTTCTCTTGCTCACAGTCTGGAGCAAGAGTTCTGGTTTAGATGCTGCTGGAGTTATGATGGGTGTAGTGAGCATAAGATTCAGGTCACTAAGCTGTTCCTATTTTTACAGGAGTCCATTTTTTTTTTCTCCAGCTAATTACCAAAACACTGAAACTGGGCTGACTTTTAAAAAGCTTGTTTCTCCCACATCACACCCTTCCTGATCTAAAAAAAGGAGAGGGGAAGATTTTGCAGTGACATGCATTGTCTCAGGCAGGGGGGGACAGAAGGAATTTCTGCCTTGCTCCAACATAAAACTGCTGTGGCCACAAGCAGTATGTGCCCTGCCCACAGAACAAGGTGTGTTCACCTTTACCTTTGGCTCTCAAAGTTAAGAGCAACCTTTCCAAACACTGTAACTTCTACATCACCCCCCATTTTTACCATCTCCATAATTTCACTCAAGATGCTGAAAGCCAAAGGGGAAGACTTAACAGGCTGTGCCTAAAGGTTCAAAGACTTTCATGTGCTCAGCCTCAAAACAAATCTCTTCCCCACTCTAACAAAGATGGCCTTGCTTGGCATTGAACAGATGAGAAGGGCGTGTCTCCACACAGCTCTGAACCAAGCCCTCAGGACACAAGGTGTTTCATGAACAGAAAGGAAGCATGTCACAGGCCAGGCAGAACCAGGAAGGAGGTAAGGTTTCAGAGGCAGCACTGCAACCAATCTCTGCTTCCTGCAGGAAAGCAAAGTGCTATTAGGGATCTGGCTGACAAAGGGAACTGATTCTGTGATCTAGCCAAGCTCTTACCTTTCTTCTACCTTTGCTCAGTAAAGAAATAGAGTAATAGGATGTCAGGATCTGACTCCTCTCTGCCCCACACCCCTGGCCCTGCTTCTGCAGGTTCCCTGAGCTGCAGCAACTGGAGGCTGGTCATTTTGGGATTTGGCTAGTACCTCGTTGTTGGTGGCGTATTTCTCACACGCTGTGACACAGAGCTCCATGGCCTCTACACGCATCTCCTCCGGCATGTCGGAGTGCTGGAAAGAGCAAACAAACAAGAGGAACTCAGCAGAAAATCCAAGAGCTAATCACAAGACAACAGTGAGTATCCCTTTTGTGCAGGCTATAGCGGGGTCCTAGGCTGTGGGGCATGGGCAAAAGGCAGGTATTCCATCTGACTTGCAATGCTTCAAGGTGAGAAGCACCACCAGCCATGCAGGCTGGTCAGCACCCTGAGCACTTCCACTGGTCCAGAGAATGGAAAATATGAAAATAGGGTATTGCATCACAAGTGGCCCATTCAATCCTTTGTCCCAGCCAATGCAGAATTCTCTACCTAACATTAAGACTAGCACTAAGTAAGCACAGCTTAAAGGAGGAGATAAATACATTTTGGTTTTCTAAGATGAAGGCATGTTAATGCTGCTTCAACCACAGTCCTTAATTATTGCTATAAGCATAACAAAGGAGACTAAGTTACATTTCTTCCTCTTCTTATCTGGCTAGCTAACAAGATCTTCTACTTCAGCTCCTCTAGGAAAAAAACAAGCTGCAACTAGAACACAGAAGAAGGCTCCAAAGGCAGAATGTTAATCTATTGGATGGATCACTTTTTGCCCCGGGCCTTCCCTGGCTGATGGGTGGAACAACGATGTTATTCACAGAACAGTTTGGGTTGGAAGGGACCCTAAAAATCATCAATTTCCCTGACAGAGGTCAAGGACAGGGAGAAAGCAGTGGTAACAACTTAGATCACTCTATAGGACCATTAGTCTACACGTTCTCACAGCAGCTACTCAGTGGGAGAAATTCTAGTTTGAAAGGTTAGTGTAAGTGAAGGTGACACTGGAAAACCTCTACTCCATCCCTCTTCTTACCCTAATCAGTGGAAAGGTGTGAAGTCTTTTATACTCAGCCTCTTCCTTTTTCCCCTCCCCGGTGTCTGCCATGGTCCTTCCACAGTGACCCCGGGAAGGGGCAGAGGGGCTGCCTGGAGCTCAGCAAGGTGCTGTGGCACGGACAGCCAGGAGGAACACAGCTCTGTCAACGCAGGCAGGGCAGCCTCAGCAGGAGGGGTAACTGATGGGCACAGAGAACACTGCTTGAACACAAAACAAACATGGGGAAGAGAAAGAAAGCTTTGAATTAAAGCAGATGAGAAATACAATCATTACGAGAATATCACCCCATCTCAGTCATCTTGCTGTTTCTCAGCACCATCTTCACACACCACGCACTTAAGAGTGTTATCTCACAGACCATTAAGGCAAACAGATTAAAAAACCACATCATTTTCCATAAACGATGCCTCAAGAGCACAGCACTTCCCAGAAGCACCAATGAAGCTTGAGGGAAGAGCCAAGTCAGGGTACAGCTTCTGACAAGGGAGGAGAGAACAATACATCAGCTGTCTATTGATTAATTCCAAAAGGATTTTTCCACAATGTCATTATCCACAAGGGTTTCAAACCCTGCATGACAAGCAAAGGGTAAGAGTATTTTAGGAACAAGATCAGTGCATGTCTGGATGGAAATGTTTAACAGGAACATTTGGTCTGGTGTTAAGCACTCGATCTTCACATCCCTGAGCATCTGTCAGCCAGGAAGGACCATATGGGAAAATGCTGGACCGTGCCTCTGGGCCCAATTACCAACCAGGCTCCTCTTGGGTAACGCAGAGCCACGGCACAGTCCGACTGGCAGATTCAGAACATTTCACTGTGGACTTACCTCTGGTTCTCTCATCCAGAACGAAGCACCTTCCTCTCCTACCCAGAGGAGGCAAGGGTGACCCCATATTGAGGGGAAAACAACACCACACAGACCAAGCTCTCATGCCAAGTCTGTAGAGTTAGCGGCTAAAGGACCAACTCTGACCGACCCTGTTCGCACACAGGGGACCGCGGGACCGGCAGACGTCCCCTCCACAGGACACAACCGCCGCCTGGTTGGCGCAGGCCCCGTGCAGCGGGGCAAACCCTGGAGGCACCTTCAATAGCCATCTTCTCCCAGTGACCGGCGCGGGGCCACAGACGGGGGCTGCCCTACGGGCCGGCGGCGGTTTCTCCGGGGAGGAGCCACCGAGGGTGGAAAGACAAGGCAGGGAGGCGGTCTGGGGGCAGCCCGGC